TATGTCTCAAATACAGACAAAAGTCCAACAAATGCTGCTAGCACTACAGCACTTCAAAAGGCACCCTTGTGTGTTCCTCAGGTGAAGTATGGAAATGAGCATGCACCTAGCTCTGTAAATGGCCTTTCAGACTTTGTGCCAGCTCCTGTAATGTTGCAAAACCAGACTCAGAGAACAGTCTTAAATGAATGTAAACGTAACCAGCCAAATGGATTTTGGGAGGCAACATCTGAGAAAACAAAGGTGTTCGATATTCAAGAAGCTCCAGTAAGGGATGATGGAAGCTCTCCTGACTGGAGTTCAGATAGTGGAAGTCTACATTTGGATAGTGGTGATATGGCCTGCTTGTATTCTATGCAGAAAGCAAGTTCTAATGCAGAAGCACAACATATGGCCTGTGAACAGTTTCCTAATGCAGATGAAAATGTTAGTACATTTTATAAGCAACTTACCAGCAAAGCCAAGCTTCTTGGTGCAAAAAGTGAAACCACACTTTATAGTAGTGAGCAACTGAAGGTAAACCAAGGACCTAATTCATACAAGAACTCTGAGAAATCAAATTCTGATATCTCACAACAGTTCAATGCACAGCCATGTTCAAATATAGAAAAAGGCTCCAACCAATATTTAAGGAAGCTGATACTGGATGCCAAATCTTTTCAGCAAGATAGTGGCTTTGATAGCCCACTTCCTAACTTGGATTAACATCAAAATTCTTCAAACATTAGTTTAAAGAAATTAATATGCAAACTTTGGATGTGTGGGAAAACTTACTATTCTAAAAAGGTGTGGATTTTATCCATTTTGTCATCTCTCGATATGTGATTTGAGATTGGTACATGAACGAACAAACAAATCATATAAAATTACTTGAAATACTGATGTAGGCTTATGTTTACCTTGGTCGTCTGGCTTTTGCAGTTGTGTACAGTATTTTATGTAAGTGTGTGTATTTTTTGCTAATCTATTTTTGTACTTTAAGTGGAGTTTGCAGTGCAATACTACATTTTTATTTATATATAAATAAATTATTTTCACGTGTGCTCCCTTTTACAATTGGTATAAAAGTTTAGTGTGCATTATAAATGTTTCTCAGAATGTTTGAAACGCTCAGGTATTTCATCCATATAAGTGTCAGGGGATATTTATGTTATAATCATAAACATTTACATATGTTTTTAGAAAATGATTATCAGTCTCTTATACTCTGAATCCAACTCCAAACATATGCCTTCACTTTGAACATATTTCTAGTGAAAGCTGGTTCACTTATGACTGGGAGAAAGATCTTAGCTTTGTTTTCAGTTAAGCAGGGTAACTTCATTTCCCAGCTATTCCTAGATAGCATTAACTATCTTAATTTAAAATAAAGATTTAATACTATTCTTCATGATATTTTCATAAGTTATATTAAAAGATCTGCTTGTGTTTCTCAGAAACCCACTCTTTCTCATTCTGTCTCTAACATTTTTTGCTTTGGGGTTGCATTTGCTTTTGTTTCTATGGATATTTATGTGAAAACAGGAATTTTGCTTTTTGCTTCATTTGTTCCTGCTGTTTGTGAGAAACAAAGTCCAAAATAGTGTTAACATCCACTTGACTGATAGTACAGTTATAACCCAAGGATTCATTTGCAGAGTGGCATATGCAGCAGCCACAGATGAACATCTAAGTAACAATCCTTTTTCTGTATAAATGTGTGAAATAATTGGAGAATATTAACTATAGGAGCACTGAATCAATTGTTTGTGAGGTGTTTGCTCTTTTTCAGTTACAAGCTCACTAAGGCTATGTCTACACTACAAGGTTTTTGCGCAAAACCAGCCATTTTTGCGCAAAAACTAGCGGAGCATCAACAGCTCAGGTGCCTTTTTGCGCTACAATAATTACAGTAAATCGACAGGACAGGGGGCTTTTGCCGGTAGAGTTATTCCTCTCCCCATGAGGAATAACTCCTTTTTGCACTACAGTTTTTGCGTAAAAAGGCATGTTTGGACACTCCGCAGGGGTTTCTTGCACAAAAAGAGCCTATCAGAAAAAGCACGGGTGCTCTGATGGCCATTCTGTGAATGGCCATCAGAGCTTTCTTGCACAAGAGCGTTCATGCAGTTTGGATGCTCTCTTGCGCAAAAGCACATCGGTTTTGCTATGCGTTTTTGAGGTGTGGACACGCTTTTGCACAAGAAGTTTTTTGCAGAAGATCTCTTCTGCAAAATGCTTCTTGCGCAAAAACCCTGCAGTGTAGACAAAGCCTAACAGTATTCTTGTCTCTTTCATTTTTGCATATTCTAGAATGGGGAAAAAGACGATGACACAATGTGTAGCAATAGTAAAGATAGTTTCTTTAAGTCTTCAAAGTTGAAACTTGTACTGCACAATTTTTTATGAGCAATGTAGTCTATATTCTAGTGTAAAGGAAAAATATAGCAAGATTAAATAAAAACAAAAACTTCAAATGAAAAATGTATTTAATTTGCTCTACAAAAATGTCTTAATTGGCTACTTTAATTTTCATGCCATAGCAACATCTCTCTAATTTGAAATTAGGTCAAAGGATCTAATATGAGAATTCTGAAATTCTTCGTGGCCTGTTCATGTTATCCATAAACCCAGTCCTGCTTCCTCTGTAGGCAAGATGGAGTTTTGCCCTTATCTTCAATGGGAACAAGTTCAGGTTGTGAGACCTTTTGTGCTTAAACCAGGATGAATAGTGGCTAAGCTCTAAGGCTAGATACCCATCTTTTATATGAGGAAATAACTGTGGTCATTTATACAGGGGAAAGTTCTACTAGCTATATCATTATAATCCTCCCATCTTATTCTAGGCTTTATTTTAGTTGATGGGTGGGGGGATAAACTGAGTTGACAAAAGGCACATTTATACTAAAATAAGATTTCATACCTGAGATTATACCAAGACATTATTTCCATGTAGACAAGCCTGTGTCTATAAAAGTTATTATGTAGCTGTTCTGCAGGACCATAAATTGAACACACAAACTAGGTACTAGATGCATCTGCCTGAATTTGTGTGTCCAAAACAGCTAAATTAGTCTTCCCCATTGATCAAAAAGTTCTCAAAGTAAGCACTGTTTAAAAGATTGACCTCTGTGGGTTCAAATGCCTTTCTCGTGATTTTTTTTTCAGAAGTACTAGTAATAAGCTTAACAAACCCAGACTTTCTAAATTTTAAATCTTCCAATAGGCCTATTCTGATGTAAAAAAAGCTTTAAGTGCCCTTTCCAAACTTCTAAGCTCTGACAGCATATTGCATTACACTTTATTAATATAGTTACCAGTCTTAGACATATAATACACAACTTGCATTTTAGTTTTGCTGTAGTTTTTAAAAATTGCCTTATGAGGTTGTTCAAAAGCCAAGTGAGTCCAGTTCAAACAAGTAATCGGCATGATCCAAATCAAGCTAAAGGCAGGGGAGCTATCTTGACCAAAGACAACCTTCTTGCAACAAGTGCTTCCTTCCCAGCAATCTATGGCAGGCTAAAACAGATTGATAGTGTTGACGAAACCAGGTAAGCTCTTTTCAACAAACTGAAGCACCTTTTGTCTTGCATTGAGAATGATTTTCTCTTATGCTCTGCCTTTCTCTCCTACTGAGTAGAAGGCATTTTTATGGAGACAGGAAGTAAGAAACAAGATTGGTCACAGCTTGATAAAAATAAGGTTAATTAAATCTAAGAGATCAGTTGACCAACTTAATCTGGCCCTGTTTAATAATTTTATGTGCCATAAAGTATCACAGCAGTAGACATAAGATACTAATCCATAGCAGCTAAAAAATCTTCATGCATAATAATGTATGTGTTGCTGGAAAACCAGCTAAACCCCTACTCAATATTATCATGGGGTTATTTTCACTGACAACTCCAGAGATTGCCAACAGCACTCAGGAAGGGGATTTTAAAGCCTCTCTAATGAGACTTCACTGCAGAAGACTGAAGGGAAGATAGCCACAGAGCAAGCAGCAACAAGAGTTTTCTGATAAATAAGGATTTGAGGTTGTGTGAGGGCTGGGACAACAACAAATATAAGTATTATAGCTCCCTTGTGACTAGCAAGTCCTAGACCCCTTAGGCCTCTAACATCAAGGGGGGAAGAATGAAGCAATAACTGACTAAAACAACAGTAGCAGCTCCTAAAACTCAACTGAATGACACCAGGAGACGGGAAAGGTTAGTGCTGCAATTTGTGGTTGGATTTGTTACAGTTGCATGAAGACTTGTAACACAGCCGCTGAAAAAGAATGTTTCAGAATAAGTTTGCCATGTGTCCTCTCCCAATTGGTTATATATTGCTGAAAGAACATATTTGTCTTAATCAAGAACTCATAATTTATTGTTATATGAATCTGTTCCTTCTGGTGTATTCTTTAGAGACTCTGCCAGCACCTTGTTATTCAGATTGCTGCTTGGTTTAATGCTGTGTTTGCTGCAACAGCCAATAGCTCTCTGCTGTTCTGTTACTGTTTCAGTTCAATAATATTTAACTACATGTGCATTCAAAAAGATTCATGGTTGAAGCCTTTCCACCTAATAGCAGACTGCAGCTACAAAATTCTTTTACTGGAGTTACTTTTTTGCTTTTATACTGTGTCTGCAGGACCCATGTTCTAGGAAATATTCCCATCCATGTAACAAACTGACCAGCCTTAAGTAGCTATTTGTCTATGCAGGTAAGTGGGCTACATGTAGAATTGTTGATTGTCCAAGAATTAAGTGTGACATTCTTAGAATAGTCCATAAGTAACTTTAATACAAGACCTTGTAAAGAAAAGCTTATAAGCAAAGACTGTGAACTTGTGGGGCTCTCACTCACCTTTACTTACTTTGTTTAGATGTCTTCTGAGCATGTTTTCCAGGACCTATGGACTGTTGCTGTATATATCATTTTCTTCCCCCTTTGTCATTTGTCCTTAAAGTCTGCTGTGAAAGCCACTCTGATTTTATGAGCTTTCTTTTGTTGAATTTCATTTCACTAAAATGTGCATCCTCCTATTGCCCTTTGTTCAATGGAGGTTAATCAGACTTCCTAATGAAATGTATTTGAAGTAGATCTTTTGCTATTTCATACATTATCTTCTGCTCTGAAGTGAGGCCTGATTCATCACTCTGCCATTTGCTTTATTTCTGCTGGTGTAGGTGAGTTAGAATAGAATTCAAGGTAATCTGAAAGTCACAGAACACCAGCACCACTTGTGACTGCTGAAACTTAATTCTCAGTGTTTTTCAGGCAATAATGCTCCTTGCGTTCAGAGCCCTTGTTAGCTTCACTGTTAATGAATCTTCCCCACCCTTCTTACCTGGGTTGATGTTCTCCTCTTGTGTAAATTTGGTATAGAGAGGCAGAGAGCCAAGGGCACAGTGATCAGTGGGAGAGCCTTCTAAACATTGTCAACACTTGAACAAAATTAAAGAAGCACATCTCTTTCGCCAAATGTTTTGGCTTAGTGCCATCTGTAGTGTTCTGGCTTTGTCCAGATGACAAATGTTCCCTGTCAGCCTGCCACCTAGTAAGAGGGGACAGAAATATTGTAATTGTCTAATCAACTCTACTTTTGGTTGTAAAGCAAATGCAGTTCTTTAATACTCTGGTTTTACTATAGCTATTAATTAACTTCTGCAATTTGTACTGCACAGCTTAAGTTGAGATGAAGTATTTTATGTTGCTTTACTCCCCTCTAGTGG